CATACATGCGGACATACGCATATACATACACATGTATATATACTAATATATATATATATACATGTACTATACGGATATTCACATACACTTTCACTTGCACATACGTACGTACATACATACATGCTTACTTACCGACTTGTTTAGATACATGCATGCATACGTGCATACCGACAGACAGAACGACAGACAGACATAGAGACAGAGAGACAGAGACAGGCAGAGAGACAGAGAGAGAGAGAGAGAGAGACATAATTACGGACCAATGGACAGACAGACATACACACAGACGTACACACAGGAATGCGTGCATGCATGCATGCATGCATGCATACGGTATGACTTATTTGCTTCCTCGCCCTGCATAGACATACATCCCCCGCGATTACACAATATCGTACCTTTCGGACAACCAACTAGCTGGATGGGCAATACATATACAGGTATATGTATGTATGCATATACATATATATAGAGAGAGATTGATCATACATACACACACACATATGCACATCTGTATATGTGTATAACACATACACATACGGCATGTTTCGCGTGCTTATACTTCTGTCTTTACGCTGTTGTGAACCCATTCACCTCTGGGTTCACGTTCGTTGAATGCTCTCGGATGCAGAATGCGGCATGCGAGTCGAAGTTTTCCTTCCAATCTTCAGCGGGTCGAACCCAGAAGAGCTGATATGATGAACAACTGCGCGAAGCCTGTCCTTAAGTGCACAAGATACCTTGTGACGCTACATCGGTAGGTACATGCTGCACCCAAGGTCACCCAACCTTACACCGTCCCAGTGCTTCTTCTAGGACTCCCAAAGCTGTAGAACCCAACCCCAAGCTATCCCCACACGCAAGGCCCTAATCCTCAAGCCCTAAGCCCAAAGCAGACACTCAATCCGAAGCCCTCATGTCAGGGAACCCTGATACCCTAAACTCTCAAGCCCTGAACGGTTTAGGGCTTTGGGTTGCGGGTTTAGTGGTCTTAGGGTCTAGGGCCTAAACCAAGTTTAGCGTTTAGGGTTTGTCTTCTTTTCCTGATTGCCTTAGCCAGGTCCAATCTTGGTCACGAATGGCTACATCCTCGTTTCCTGGGCGGCCCTCTTTGTAGAGAGCCCTTGTCGACTGTTGTATTATAGGGGCTTTATATATTAGAATAGGGTTTGGGGTAGATAATACTATAATTATACTTATAATAAGGAACCCCCAAAGCCCTATTCGAATTATTAAGGCCCCTACTTCAGGGTCTAGGTTTAGGGTCTCGTAGGGTCTAGGTTCGAGGTTTCAATCACTGAAGAAGGCTATGGTAGTCTCAGAAAAAGGCACACCCCAAAGGGATCCCTCTGTAGCAGGGTGATAGTTTCCCCTTAACTCAAAAAACGCGGCTCCAGTTAGTAAGCCTTTCGGGTTTAGGGTTTAAGATGGTTTGGGGCTACATCATGGAACCCTTATCGTAACCTTCTACTACGGGATGTTTAGAGGTTTTGGGGTTAGGGGTTTAGGGGCATAGGGGCTTAGGGTTCAGGAGTTTAAGGGTTTAAGGGCTTTGGGTTTAGGGGTCTAGGGTTTAGGGGTTTAGGGTCGAGGGGTTTA